CCTAAACTCTAAACTCTAAACCATAAAACCCAAATCCCTAAAACCTAAAGCTTAACCGTAAACCCCAAAACTCCAAACCCCTAAACGAGACCCCTAAAATCCCAAACCCTAAACCCTAAATTCGAAAACCCAAAACTTGAAACCCAAAACTCTAAACCCCAAATCATAAAACCCTTAAATCCTAAACTGTAATTTTCTCGACCACCATCCAGTATTTGCTTTGTCTATAACGAGTAATTTTCTTTATGATTGTATTAAGGTCATCCAATTCTATATCATAATATATTCAGATTCTATTTATAGTCCAGTTTTATCCAAATATGAATTCTTAAGTCTCCATTGACAGTTTTATAATTAAACGAAAAAATTGGGAGCATAAATTTTTTGGTTTGTACCAAGTGCATTTATGTTCTTTCTCTATTCCGAGAATATAAATTCTATGTAGTTACCAAACACGTTCTTCTACCTAGAAACTCGTGTAGGGAATAGAAATATAAAAAACTATTTCTGAACATAAATTGTTCTCGGGAACATAAACTTTACCAAACAAACCCTCAGCTACCGAGACGCTTGTCTTCAACTACTCAAACCCTAAATCCTAAACCCCAAACCCTAAACTTTAAAATTCTAAACCATTAAACCTTAAACGGCAAATCTGAAACCTTAAAACCCTAAACCCTACCCCAAACCCCAAACCCCAAATCTTAACACCATAGATCTGGAACAGAAAAATAGAAAAACTGGAACGTTATCAAACAAAAATCTATTTAGTAACGTCAGTTAATTTTTCTACTCTCGGGAATAGAAAAGTAGCTACGAAATAGATTTGGAATAGAAATAAGAAGTAAAAAAAATATTTTTTTTGTTCCTGAAAACAAAAAGAGAAATAATAGAGAAACAAGATCAGCTCTCCCTCGCTCTCAAAAGATATTCTCATGCTAAACCCTAAACCCCAAAACATAAACCCTAAACCTAAAACACTAAACAATAAACCCCAAACTCAAACCCTAAAACCATAAACCCCAAACTTCAAACCCTAAATGCAAAACCCCCCAATTTAAGCCATAAACCCCATTCTCCAAAACCCCAAACCCGAAATTCTAAACCCTAAAACCCTAAACTCTAAACCCCAAAACCTAAATCCCTAAAATCCTAAACCCTAAAATCCATACCCCAAACCAGTAAACCCAAACCCTAAAATCTGAAACTCCAAATCTTAAACCCTAAATCCCAAACCCTAAAACCCAAAACCTAAAACATAAACCCCAAACCCTAAATCCAAAACCAAAAAACCCTAAATGCCAAATTCCCAAACCCTTAAAATCGACCCCTAAAATCCCAAACTCACCCTAAACCCTAAATCCCAGACACCAAAACCATAAAGCCATAAACCCTAAACCTAAAATCACAAACCATAAAACCCTAAACCTGAAACCTTAAAACCCTAAACCCTAAAACCCTGCCCTAAAACCCTAAACCCTAAACTGTAATTTCCTCAACAACTACTCGGTATTTGCTTTGTCTATAAAGTGTAATTTTCTTTATGATTGTATTAAGGTCATCCAATTCTATATCATAATATATTCTGATTCTATTTTCAGTCCAATTTTATCCAAACATGAAGAATTGTTAAGTTTCCACTCACATTTTATAATTAAATGAAAAAATTGAGAGTAGAAATTTTTAGGTTCGTACCAAGCGCATTTATGTTCTTTTTCTATTCCAGGAATAGAAAATTTGTGCAATTACTAAACATGTTCTTCTATTCAGAAACTAGTGTAGGGAATAGAAATAAAAAAAACTATTTCTGAACAAAATTTGTTCCCAAGTACAGAAACTTTACCAAACAAACCCTCGGCTGTCGAGACACTTGTCTTCAACTACTCAAACCCTAAACCCTAAATCGTAAATCCCAAACCCCAAAACCCGAAATCCTAAAACCTAAACCTGAAACACTAGACAATAAACCCCAAACTCAAATCCTAAAACTGCAAAATCGCCAAATTTAAGCCCCAAACCCCAATCCCCAAAACCCCAAACTCGAAATTCTAAACCCTAAAACCATAAACTCTAAACCCCAAAACCCAAATTCTTTAAACCCTAAACCCCCAAACCCCAAACCCTAAAACCCAAATCCCAAAACCCTAAACTCTAAACCCTAAACCCTAAATCCTTAAACCGAAACCCTAAACCTTAAACCCTAAATCCCAAACCCCAAAACCTGAAACCCTAAAACATAAACAATAAAATCTTAAACCCCAAACGATAAAACCCTCAACCCTAAACCCTAAAACCCCAAACCCAAACCCTAAAACTCTTAAATCCTAAATCCTAAACTACAATTTCCTCGACAACCACCCATTTTTATGATTGTATTAAGGTCATCTAATTCTATATCATAATATATTTTGATTCTATTTCTAGTGTAGTTTTATCCAAACATGAATTGTCAAGTCTCCATTGACAATTTTATAATTCAATGAAAAAATTGGGAGTAGAAATTTTTATGGTTGTACCAAGCATATTTCAGTTCTTTTTTTATTCTGGGAATAAAAATTTTATACAGTTACCAAACACGTTCTTCTTCTCAGAAACTCGTGTAGGGAATAGAAACAGAAAAAATTATTTCTGAATAGAAATTATTTTCGGGAAAAAAAACATTACCAAATAGACCCTCAGCTATCGAGACGCTCGTCTTCAACTATTCAAAGCCATTGAAACGATTATATAAGGTGTGTGATCGAATTGAAATTCAAGGAGTTCTAGTTATATGTATAGATATTGAATTATTAGGACTTTTACTCGTGGTATCGTAGCGACGTACACAGGTTTAGAATCCTAGGTGACGCTTACTCTAGATGAGAATGTATGGATAGTCCCTAGATTTAAAGGTTTGTGATTTGTGAAATTTGATGTTTCTGGTCTCTCATTTTTGAAGTTCATGAAGGGCTTTCATTTTTGACTGCTATGATGGTTATATGTTCTGAATTTCCGTGACTTGATTTGGACCTATGTAGTGAGAATTTGGAAATTTTAAGTGCGGAATTAGATTATATGAACCACAAATGGAGTTCTGCAATTTGATTGTTCATTTGCTATTGTTGGAACAAAGATAGGGAAGAAATCGACTAACCTTTCTATGCACAACAAAAGAATTACGCAATAATATAGATTGAATCACTAGCGAGTAATGGACGAATCTACAACTTCACAATGATTCGAATATAATCACAAAGAAAATATTCTTGTTCCACAACGTTAATTCCGATCTTCTTCTCAAAGTAATGATGGAGACCTTTTGTGCATTATTCTGATAGAGAGGAGAATGTTTGTTTCACTGCACGTTCTTTTCTGTATGTATGATCTTTTTTTCTCATTAGGAAGTTATTTGAACTTCCCTTAAAAGACAACTGTTCACACCTCTTCAAAGGGTGCCTCTCAAACACACCCCATCATGGGCGAATCATCGAAATATAGCAATTATTTTATGGAATTGACTTAAGACTACTATTAACCATAGCATGATGATCATTTCCCATGAATTTTGCGTACATATTCAATTCAAGCTTTAGAGAATTCTGAGCTTGAAGTTTCAATAAGAATAAGAGAACCGAAAGTTTAGTCATGCGATTCGACAAATATGCTAGTTAGTGCCTTTTCTTTTGTTGTGGTAAAAATACTTGTTATTACTCAGAAATTCAAAATTGGCTCAGGTTTTCGTTCTTCCATGTAATAGCGGTTCCACCTAGTACATATCGTCCCATACCTGATCTGGTGTTGAGAGAATCTTGAGTAGGATGCTTTTTACATTGCGACTGATTGGACAAACCGCAAATTAGGTGTGGATTGCTTGTTTTATCTTGCAATTGAAACAATAATCATGTTAGCACATCAAAATCTGTTCATGGTACTGAATTGAGGGTTGAAATTTTGGGTTTGTGCTACGAACGTCTAGGAAGCATGGACACTCTCTGGAGACCTATGTGTCGGTGTCGGACACGTGTCAGACTTGTCGGACACTGACACTCGCCCGACACTCTTATTTATTTATTTATTTATTTGTGGATTTGAATTAAATTAATTTGATTGAAATAATCATAAAAAAGATAATTTATCATGTATATATAAAAATATACATTTAATATGCAATGTATCCCAACGTGTTGAAATTCTCTATTTTTTAGAAATGACGTGTAGGCATATCGTGTCGTGTCGTGTCGTGTCGCGTATCGCATGCCGATGTCGGTGCTACTTGGACATACGTTCGCCCAAGGAGAAGCAAATTGGAGAGGATTCCATGTAGTACATTGCCTAAAAATGCTATCTCCCCCGGCGACGAGTCAGAATCCACCTTCTTAGAGGGGAATTCCAAGTCGGTTTATACGAGAGAGAGAGAGAGAGAGAGAGAGTTGATTCTGTTGCGGACGTCTAATACCGCGTCATCTCATCTCCGTCCTCAACACTCAACAGATTGCGCTTCTTCGCTCAGCCCCTCCCTCATGTGCGTGTGCTTGACCGTCGGCTTTGATGTCTACGCGTTTACGGTATGAGTTGATGCTGACTAATTGTTTTCTTTGAGGAAGCAAGAGATTCGTGCGCAACAAGTGAACAATAAGTCATGTCAAAATAAGAAAAAGAGAAGCAGAAGCAGAAGCAGTTCAATCTGTCTGTGTTGAGTGCTTTACCTTCCTACACCTCATTTCCTCCTAATACAACACGTTGTCCATTAATGAACTCCGGACGCTCCATTAATGATAAACCGAAGAAATTGTACACGATAGTCCAGTAATCACTAGCTAAGGTTTTCCCGTTCTTCTCAATGAACCAAACATCCTCGGGATTGAAAACAAAAGATACCACCAACAAGACAAACCCCATGTTTCTCTATATAATGATTCTCTCGGGAAGTGTGTGCCCTCAGACGCCTCTCTCGCCTTCCTCTCTAACATTCCCTTGATTTCTAGAGCCTCGATATTAACTCCTCTTCCATCCATCCAACCATGGCAACAGCATCCCTCAAGCAAGAGGTTGAGCCATCAACTCTGCCACTGCCTCCTCCTCCTCCGCCTCCCCTCCAAGTCCACCTCGAGGGACAAGCCAAACAGTCCCCTCCATTGCCTCAGCCCCTCGAGCAAGAGGCCGAATCATCAACTCAAATATTGCCTCCTCCTCCTCCTTCTCCCCTCCAAGTCCACCTCGAGGGACAAGCCAAACAGTCCCAACCATTGCCTCAGCCCCTCGAGCAAGAGGTTGAACCATCATCACCTCAGTCCCTCGAGCAAGAGGTTGAACCATCGACTCTGCCTCCTCCTCCTCCTCCCCTCCAAGTCCACCTTGAAATTGAACCATCAACGCAGCCATTGTCTCCTCCTCCTCCCTCTGAGACTGAGCTCGTCGACTTCTCGAAGCGAGCTCAGTGGCTCCGTGCCGCCATGATGGGTGCGATTGAAGGTGTGGTTGCAACAGCGTCGCTCATGATGGGTGTTGGCGCCATCAACAAGGACGTCATGACTATGGCAATATCCGGAGCGGCAGGGATGATTGTTGGGGCTTGCACCATGGCCATCGGGGAGCTCGTATCGGTTTACTCTCAATACGATATCGAGGTGGCCCGGATTCAAAGAGAGGACACGAACAGAGCCGTAGGAGCTGAGGAGAGGGATGCGAGCAAGGAGAAGCTACCGAGCCCATGGCAGGCGGCGGGGGCATCCGCACTGGCCTCTGCGGTCGGGGCATTGGTGCCGCTCCTTGCAGCTTCATTCATTGAGGATTACAAGCTGAGGCTGTGGGTGGTGATAGTGGCTGTAAGCATAGCATTGCTCGGGTTTGGCGGGCTGAGCGCAAAGCTGGGGAAAGCATCGGCGGTGAAGTCCGCTTCTAGGGCATTGCTTGGAGGTTGGTTGGCCATGGGCATCACCTATGGCGTGACCAAGATGATTAATGGTCTATAATAAATTTAGCATAATATAGTGTTTCTTTTATTCTCGATATCTTTTTCTTATGTTGTATTTTGCATAGATGTAATCTTATCGGACTACTCAGTTGGGTTGAAAACAATAGGCCACAGTACACCACGTACGCATGCTATTATTCAATAAAAGATACATTGCCATCTCTTTTCCCTCCCTCCCTCTCCCTCTCCCTTCCTCCACCCTCTTTCTCACAATAGAATTCCTTGTCTCGGCAACCGGCGGCGAAGCTGCCTGACAGTGGCAGACAATGGTGGATGTCGACGGGGGACGGCAAAAATGGATGGCGAAGGTGGGATCATGGCTGATCTTCGCGGTCGAGTGAAGAGAGGAGAGAGGAAAAGAAAGATCAAGAGTTCACGATCATGGCACAAATGTGCTCTTCGTGAATATTATTCAGTATTTCTAGCGACCAATCCGTAGAAGACGACGATTTGGTCGCAAGAAATGCCCCTCTCGCGACCGCTAGTGTATTTGGTCCCTACAAATAGTGATCGAACAACCATCTTCGCGCTTTGGTCGCTAGATATTTACTTCTTGCGACCACATTTAGAAATTTGCTCACCAGATATTCATCCGTAGCGACTACTTTATATTTGGTCGCCAGAAGTAAATTTAAGAACAAAATGTTGTTTGTCGCTTGAGAACGATTTTCTTGTAATAAATTGAAATTCGTTTGAACTCATTGAAGGAGAAATAAGACAATTTCAAAAGATTTTATAAAACAATCAGGACAATACCGACTAATATTTACACTATCAAATAGAGTCCCTCTCTATACACTTTCCGAATCATATATTGAAGTTTGGTAATGTTGTGACGGAATTTGAAGAGGGGAGGAGAAGATTAAGAGGAATGTAAAATGAATTTCTCAATGATATGTTTGTACATGTACATGGTTACATTTATAGTACAAAAAGAAATTAGGGAAAGAATAAACATGATGTCGTCTTCCTATTTTATCTTCTAAATATTCCAACAATATTCCTTCTCATGGATTGACTGAATTAATTAGTTCGCAATCTGTGTGATTAGAATCGAAGTCAAGGATCAAATCAAATCCTTTCTCCAACACTCCCCCTCAAGCTGGCGGCTTATATAGGTCAAAGATGCCTAGCTTGCTTAGCAGATATGAGTGTTGTCTCTAGCGCAATGGCCTAGTGAAGATGTCTGTAGGTTGTTCCACTATTCCAATTCCTCAAGTTATGACAATCCCTTCTTGAATTTTTCTCGAGTGATGTGGCAGTCAACTTGTATATGTTTTGTTCTTTCATGAAAGATTGGATTTGCCACTAGTTTGAGTGCGGCATCATTGTCACAAAACATTTCGCTTGCTCCCTCAATTTGTACCCCAAGGGCCGAAAGCAAGCCCCATATCCAAACTATTTCGCAAATAGTTTTAGCCATAGCTCGATATTCTGATTCGGCTCATGATAAGGAGACGGTTGATTGCTTATTTGTCTTCCATGAAATGAACGATCTTCCCAATTCAATACAAAAACCGATGATAGATCTTCTGGTCATCGGGCAAGTAGCATAATCCGTATCACAATAAGCCATCATCTTAGGGTCTGTTTAGTAACGTTTCTATTCCCAAAAACAATTTCTGTTCAAAAATAATTTTTTCTATTTCTATTCACTAGACGAGTTTATGAGCAAAAAAACGTGTTTAGTAACTGCACAAAATTTCTATTCCCGGAGTAGAAAAAAATAGAAATGCATTTGGTATTTGGTAGGACACTAAAAATTTCTACTCCTAATTTTTTCATTTAATTATGAAATTGTCAGTGGAGACTTAACGATTCTTATTTGGATAAAATTGAACTAGAAATAGAGTAAGAATATATTATGATATAGAATTGGATGACCTTAATACAATCATAAAGAATATTACTTCTTATAGACAAAGTAAATACCCTGTGGTGGTCGAGAAAATTGCAGTTTAAGGGATCTAACAATTCATCATTAGATAAAATTGGACTATAAATAGAATAATAATGTATTATGACATAGAATTGGATGACCTTAATACAATCAGAAAGAAAATTACTCCTTATAGACAAAGCAAATACCAAGTGGTAGTCAAGGAAATTGCAATTTAGGGTGTAAGATTTTAGGATTTGGGGTTAGGGGTTAGGGTTTTAGGATTTCAGTTTTGAGGTTTAGGGTTTGGGGTTTTGGGTTTTGGATTTTAGGGTTTAGGTTTGGGAGTTTTGGGTTTGGTGTTTTGGGTTTTAGGGTTTGGGGTTTAGGGTTTTAGGGATTCAAGTTTTGGGTATTGTGGTTTGAGATTTAGGGTTTGAGGTTTAGGGTTTAGGGTTCGGGGTTTTACGGTTTTGCGTTTTAGGATTTAGGGTTTGGAATTACGATTTTATGGTTTAGGTTTTAGGGTTTCAGCTTTGGAATTTTGGGGTTTAGGGTTTAGTGTTTCGGATTTTGGGTTTAGGATTTGAGGTTTAGAAGGTTTAGGGTTTGGGTTTTGGGGTTTTTGATTTTAGTGTTATGGATTTTAGGGTCTGGGTATTGAGGCTTAAGGTTTTAGGGTTAGGGTTTAGGATTTTGCGTTTAGGGTTTAGTATGAGAATATCTTGTGAAAGATAGAGTTGATATTGTTTCTCTTTTTGCTCCAGAAATAGAAAAGTAGATTTTTTTTACTTCTTATTTCTGTTCCAAATTTATTCCCTGACCACTTTTTTTTTTTTGATAATCGAGGTGTCCGCGCGGCCGGCGAGCTAGGGCTCAAACCAGCGGTGATGCCCGACTAGTCCTCGAGGGGGGCTAGCGCAGCATCCCACCGCCACAACCCCCCACTTAAATCACCGATGGGTGAGTTTTGAACCCAGGACTTCTCGTGAAAGGAACTGGGCGCAAACCAACGCGGTCACCGATGGGTGGGTTTCCCTGACCACTTTTATGTTCCAGTAAACAAAAAAAACTAACTAACGTTACTAAATGGATTTCTGTTCTTTTTCTATTCCTGGGAACAAAAGAATAGAAAAACAGAGATATAGAAACGTTTCTAAACATGCCCTTAATGTTGCAATCACGAGATAAGAGAATTCCAAGTCTTGGGCATCCCTTCGAATAGTTTACAACCTTCAGTGCTGTAATCATATAAGACCGCTTTGAACTATGTATGAATTGGCTGAGTATTTGCATTGCATAACATATATTAGGTCTGGTCATGGTGAGGTATATTAATTTTCCTACGAGTTGTGATATCCTAATGGATCTTTAAGCAAAAAATCGTCATTCGGTGATGATAAACTCGTATCATATTCAAGCGTCATGAGCTTGACATTCTGTTCAATAGGAATAACAACCGGCTTGCATCCTGAAAATCTTGCTTTTGATATGATTTCCAAGATGAATTTTTGCTGACTGAGGTATATTCCCTTGTCAGATCGAGCTATCTCAAAACCAAGGAAATATTTTGGGAGGTCCCAAATCTTTAATATGAAAAGTAGAGTGCAGATATACCTTAAATTTTTCTAATGGCGGAATCATCATTTCCCATAACAAGTACATCATCAACATATATTAACAAATAAATTGATGAAGTACCTTTGGTCCATGTGAATAAAGCATTGTCATGCTTGGAGTGCTGAAAGCTTGCATTCGTGAGTGCAATGGTGAATTTTGCATACTACCGTTGAGAAGCCTACTTAAGTCCATGCAGGGATTTACGGAGACGACATACTTGAGACTTTTCCTTTCTTCGTTAAACCTTGTGGGGGAGTTCCATGTAGATTTCTTCGTCTAGATCACCATGAAGAAAAGCATTATGAATGTCCATTTGATGTATTTGCCAATTACAAAAATGCAGCAATGGATAGAAAAGAACACACAATCACCTCCTTGGCAACGGGGGAAAATGTTTCACGATAGTCAAAACCTTCTCGTTGAGTGAATCCCTTAGCAGCTAGCCGAGCCTTGTAGTGTTCAATCGAACCATCTACCTTGTATTTGATTTTATATACCCATTTGTAGCCAATTGGTTTCCTATGTGAATGCAGGGGAACTATGCCCCAAGTATGATTCTCGATAAGGGCCCTCCATAGCCTGTTGCCAGCGTAGGTCATGTGCCGCTTCCTCATAAGAAGTAGGTTCCTGTTCCTCATATATGAGACTAATACAGCACATGTACTCTGGTGATAGTCGACTAAAAGAGACATATGAAGATCATGTGTACTTGAAGACTCCAATGCGGGGCATATACAATCTTTGGTCCATGTAGGTGGATGAATATGACGGCCGGAGCATCGGGTTTGCTCGGTAATTGGCCGTTCCGGTGGTGATGAAGAAGGTTCAATAGATAGCTTTAAAGGCAGAGCGGATTGGGGACTCGATTGCTTGACTTGAGGATTCGGGAATTGCCGACGAGTGAACTGGTGGAACAAAGATGTATTGTGGAGTCGCAGACAAATCTTCTTCTGACAAGAACTGACGATGATTTGGCTCCGTTATAAGCATCTAAGATGAAGATGTCAACTCTTGGAATGGAAACATATCTTCACGGAAAACGACATCTCAACTAACAAAGAAACGACCTGGAGATATCTCCATAACCCTATAACCTTTATGTAGAGGCGAATAGCCCATGAAAACACATCGGAGCGCACGAGGATCCATTTTATCCCGATGGCCCACATTTGTCGCATAACACAAACAGCCAAATATTCTCAGGTGTCCAATCTACAGTTGTTTCTTACAGAGTATCTCAAAAGGAGTATGACCTTCAAGAATTCGAGTTGGCATATGATTGATCAAATAGGCCGCCGTGACCACACAATCTCCCTAAAAAGTTTCGAGAATGGAGGGTTGACACTTAAGTGCTCGAGCTACTTCTAAGAGATGACGATGTTTACGCTCCACAATCCTATTTTGTCGAGGACTCGTACAAGAGCTTTCTTGAAGTATACCATGAGAAGCAAGAAAAGATTTGCATTATGTAGTGGAAAATCTGCGCCCATTGTCAATGC